TAGATGGTTACGACAAGAGTAGCTAGACAAGGTATAGTAAAGTATTTCACTTATCTGGAGAGCGTACTTAATCGCACGTCTGTGTATGTAGCATACGGTTTTTGATAACAATTTCATTAAGAGTACACAGAAAAGTAATCGAATGCTGCATAATTTAGACCTCGTGTGGAGAGAAGGAAACGATCCGATGAAGAATGAGGACGACTAGCCGCTGCGCATGGAGAATGAGGTACTCGGGGTAGAAATATTGGAGCAATACACGCTGGGTAATTAGAGCATGTGGCTTAACGTGGTATTGCCGTCACATAATACGCTGGAGATCGAATAGTTACACTGAAGGACATTCTTTCTTTCTTCTTGTTTGATTGTCAGAACGCGTAGATTGGCTCAACTTGGAGGGAGTTACCTGTCTTCGAACACATAGGCTACTTTGGCGTTGCGCCACTAGGGTAATCGATAGTGCTACTGTGCCCCTGGAAGCGTCCCGCGCCCGCGCCGCGCCGCGCTGGCTGGGCGGGCGGGAGCGCGGGATGAGAAACTGGTTTATTTCTAGTGGTTGGGGGCGGGGAGGGGCCGGGGGCGGGTGTGTGTGTGTGTGTTGTCGCCGGGGCTTCCGCCAGGCGACGAGTTTCCACGCCGGCATTCCACGGCGCCGCGTACGAACCCCCTCCCCCATTCACTCGCCCCCCGCCACACCTGCCCCGAGGAGGCAGCCCCCTGCCACGGGACTCTCCTCGCTCACTTCACCACGGCCAGGCATCTGGCGCGGAGGGACTTCGTCAGCGCAAGGCGGGGGAATATACCGGATTTACGTGAATCGTTTTTCACAGAACCTTCCTTCGGACCGGCTGAAGTGGCCTCAGGGCATCAACCGATTGCCCTGGCCATAGCCTCTCAACTCGGATCTTTGTAAATATGACTTCAAACATTAAACTAATGTTATCTTGATTTCGAAATAAACACTTTCAGCTATGAAAATGAAATGAATGAAGTAAGCTTTGAATTCTTTACTTTGAACGATATTTTAGTGGTTAAAGTTTGTAATTTCAAATAATTATTGAATGTGAATTGCTCAGCAGAACCGAATTAATTGGAAATTGGAAATATTTGAAAAGAAATGTTTGTGTAATTGAACCGCAGGAGGCACAAGCCGATAGATATTTTAAACATCAACGATTCACCCGAGTGAATTTACATTTACAAAGCGAGTTTGATTTACATTCTTAAGAACGTTTGAGTAAACTGTTGATATTCTGACAATGAATAATAACTTACACCAAACGGGCTGTGAGTGTGGGACGTTCTGAACTTATTTTTGTAATGTCACTAGTTTATGTATTTTTCGAGAAAATATTGCCAAGCTGTTTTGGCTTCTTACAAAAAGAAATTACCAGAAAGTGAACGCGATAACTTAGTGCCATTGATAAATCATCCCGTTCTTAATGAAGAAGTTAATGTGTATTCTGCAATATAAAATGAACATCGTTCTTTTCTTCATTCACCTGGAAATTACGTATAAAAATGAGGATTAAAATGAACGCAATTCTTCAGACTTAAACGTATTCTTAGAAGACAATTTATATAAAAGCTTGAAAATGAGTATGCACACAATATAACGCGTGTTGAAGAGTTCTCCTGTTCAGACTCTCAATGCAAATAAACCCATTCTCACGTTCTGTCGCATTTTCCTCCCTACCTGAAACCAAAGCCATAGGCTACATTTCCTGTTCTTCCTGCCTCCGACCTAGATCTCGCTCTCGATATTCCCTCTCTCTTCTCACGTTCGATTACTCTCTTCTGATTCCTATCTTCATCTCACGAAGTCTGTGCGCACAACGCTCCCTTAGTGTAGCCAACTCGGAGAGACCCATCTCTTTCCCCGATCTCCCACAACCACAGAGCGTAATTAGGTACCGCAGCTAAGCAATTAGCGTATCATATCATCATTGTCGCTTCCAACTAAGGAAACCTACACAAGAGCTGCAATGCAGAAGTACTTTCATTTGCAAAAAAGTTAATTGTAGCCGGTTGCAACTGCATGTTCACGTCAAGAATATCTTTCAAGGGAATGTTCTACAGGGAAAATAATTGGAATTCATGTTCATATATCTGATACATTTTAAAAATATTGACTTCGACTAATGTCCCTAAGACAATTTCCTTGAATTAGAAGATACTTAATAAAGAAGATATAAAAAACCAAGAATTTTGATTTATGGATGTCAGCTTTTAAAATTTTGGGCACTATTTTCAAAAGATTAAATTCTGAAAAATAAATACATACAAATAATCGAAACAAATAAAAATAATGTCCAAACTGAAATTCACTTAACAGAAAATTATAAAGGCACAATGGCAGAAAAAAACACAGAAAAATTACAAAGAGTCATTGACCAAAAAAGGAATAAGATGATAGGGCAAGGGTCCTTGAGTGTGTCAAAGAGAAGGTGGAATGGCAAAGAACAAGTTTATTTTGAAATAATTAATCATGTTGTCATTGCCAACAATATTTTTTAATGCAATAGCAATATTGCAATTGCCAACAATATTTTTTAATGCAAAACGACTAAGGTCGACTAGATAGTCGTTTTGTGGCTTCCATCTAGCAGACAACTGATGATGATGGCTAAGCCATCGAAAGCTGCTATTGCATTAAAAAATATTGTTGGCAATGATAACATCTTTAATTATTTTAAAAATGCCAAAGTTATCACACCACAACACCTATATTATTTTGAAATACTGATGTGTATTCGGTACGATAGAGTTTAAATGAATAGGAGAAAAATGAGTTCCGAGAATGTAAAGTACATACAAAATGTAGTAATGAGAGAAAGGACTAGGAGAAATAAGACGACAGGGAGAGGGGAGGAGGAAGAGAGGAGAAGAGGGAGGGAGAAGAGGAGATATGAAGAAAGAAGCAGAGAGAAGGTGGAGAGTGGGGAGGAGAGAAGGCGAAGAACGGAGAGGAAAGAAGACGGAGGGTCGTGGGAAGAGCAGGGAGGGAGCGAGGAGAGGAGGGAGAGAGACAAGAGGAGGGAGAGAGACAAGAGGAGAGGAGGAGGGAGAGAGACAAGAGGAGGGAGAGAGAAGAGGAGAGAGAGAGAGAAGGAGAGAGAGAGGAGAGAGAGAGGGAGAGAGAGAGGGGGAGAGAGACAGGGAGAGAGAGAGGGGGAGGGAGAAGAGAGGGAGAGAGAGAGGGAGAGAGGGGGAGAGAGAGGAGGAGAGAGAGGGAGAGAGACGGGGAGAGAGAGGGGGAGAGAGAGGGGAAGAGAGGGGGGAGAAGAGAGGGGAGAGAAAGAGGGAGAGAAGAGAGGGAGAGAGGGAGAGGGAGGGAGAGAGAGGGAGAGAGGGGGAGAGAGAGGGGGAGAGAGAGGGGGAGAGAGAGGGGAGAGAAGGGGGAGAGAGAGGGGGGAGAGGGGGAGAGAGAGGGGGAGAGAGAGAGGGAGAGGAGGGGGAGAGAGAGAGGGGGAGAGAAGGGGGGGAGAGAGAGGGGGAGAGAGAGGGGGGAGAGGGAGGGGGAGAAAGAGAGGGGGAGAGGAGAGGGAGCGGTTATAACGCACCTCGGGCGCGGGCCGCCCCAGGCCGGCCATTGACGCAGAGCTGCCGGGGTCGATGGGGCGCTGGCGGCACGGCACACGGCGCCCACGTCGGGCCCGAAGTCGAGGCGGGCGGGCCGAGGCGCGGCAGGGCCGAAGGTCCGGGGCTCACGAGGCAGCGGGCCGCGCCGCGCGCACTGGGTGCGCACCAGGGCCGCCACCCTCTCGCACCTGCGCCACGCCGCGCGCCACGCCCGCCTCGCCGCTCGCCCCGGCCGCCCCGCCCGGCGCGCCCGCGCCGCCCGCGTCGCCCGCCATCGCCGCCCACTCGCTGGCGGACAGCTGCCGCTCCCTGCGGACACACCGGCAAACGCCTCACTCGCCTCCTCCCCTCACAGATGGCGCTCACGTGCTACTGGTCACTGCTCAAAACTGAACCTTTAACGGCCCGTTTTCCCCCAACATATTATGAAGACAGCCACAAGTAAAAGTATTTTTTCAAGTTATTCGTAGCGTGCTAAAGGTTCATTTTCCGGCATAAAGCTAAATGTGAAATGATGATCCTGTGTTTAGATATTTCTAGGAATGCAACCAACAAATCATAATTTCGTTTGACCTAATAAGATAAGACAAAACTTAATGTACCATTAAGTGATTTTTATATTTAAAATAAAATGAAATGAAAGGATCTATGGCCATGACACACGTGGTAAAAACTATTTTATTTTGCTCGCAGAATTGCGTCACTCTGGCTGTTGCAACATTTCCTACCCGCAAAATTAAACGTCACTTTTACCCTATCATAATTATTATGTTTATTCACTCCATGAATTATCTACAATAGGTAGTTTGGGAAATGATCGTCTTGTGCTTTTCACTTTCATACATTCTATTCACCGTCAGGAAAAAAACTTAAAAGGTTAAGAGTGTTAAAACTGTGTGTCATTTCAACCTGAGTTTTATTGACGATGCACACTGCCGACAGGATAATTTATTTGGGAGTTAGAAAAAAATACTTAGGCTACAGACCTCATGAACTAAGAATTATTTCTGCTCAGATTTTCCTTGAATGGAAAATTTGTTTCCATATCGATTAATAAATAAGCAGACTTAAGCACGTAATTACGGCACCGTCTGAATAGGAGCCCCCAAATCATTTTTAAATCAAATTGTATTTTAGTTTATAAACATTTTAAATAATTTAATTTTTTTAAATTGCAAAGATTATTGTTCATTTTCATATTAAATTTGAATAGATATTAACACAGTAAATTAACATATTTACCCATTGAATATTACCCATACATGGGAATGTATATGAATATTGTATTGATTGATAATGTATATGACTACATATACGAATATTACAAAATATATGTTGAAATACTGAATATTACAATTCAATATTACTACATTAATTTGGTCTTGAATTCTTTAAGTCTGAATGAAAAAGTTTGGTTTTTAGTTTAAATGAATCATGCTAGTAAGTTTCCAACCAACCCCATGACAAGTACAATTTAGGTATTGATGTTAATTGATGTTATCACCACGTTTCACAACTGGTTTCTTCTCCTTCATCGGACTCATTAAATTATGAAGAACGATATCTACTTAACAAATTAAATGCGTTTGCTAAATAAATACCATGTTCTATTTATTACCAATCATTTGTAAACATTTTTTCAATCTGCAATAATATCTTATGTCAAAAGTTTTGATTTTCTCGGTAAATGATAAACTCAAGATTATGTACAAACTCTTCAAATAAAAGTGTAGAATCGAATAAATATCTGAAATCATTCATTAATAAATTTATAATTACTTTCTAAACTTAACTGTATATTACTGTATATTTCTGAATTATTTCAAGATGCTCAAAATATGTGCAACTCCTCACACTGATCACTCACTGGTATCAAGAATAATTAACTTCTTCATGTGCATGTTGCGCAACGCTTTTAGCCACCAATGAAGCTTTTTCAACAGCGGATTGCGGGTCCCACTTTTGGCCGCGTGCCCGAGCCGCGAAACGTATGTTGTGTTCAAGGCTACAAGAACACTTTTGACAGATTCGAAAAAACAGTATCGCATCATAGAAAACGACAAACATAACCACATCGCTGGGAAGCTTCTCTTGTCTGGTCAATGGAACGCACGCCCAAAACTACCGATTTGCGATTATATTAAAAATGCTGCACGTTACTAAATGATATAATTAAAGAAGTTCAACTGCAAAAAAAATAGGAATTAAAATAATTGGGTCTACTACTAGCTCAACATTTTTAATCGTCGCTTGGCACACAATGGGATGAGCGGAACAGCAACTTCTGTAATGAAAACAACCAAGCTTATCTGATCCTTATGCAACACTTTGATCCCCCTCCACTTTGCGCTATCTGCTGAGAGGAAAATATGTTCATCTTGCCGGTACTGTTGTGAGTCACGGGAAAGAAAATGCCAGTGTTTTTTTAAGTTATAATATTGCTATCAATAATTATATATGGATAGGAATGTTTGATTATTTAGCCTTCTAAGCTGGTTGCGGTCGATTACATACTTATTTAGATACACTAGTTAACATCTACAAGTATAGCAATGTATTAAACATTAACACAATTAATTTTCAATTTTCACATATTTTATAATTTTCCTTTAAATTCTTTAATTTTGGGCGTGTCTTGTTTCTTTTGTTGTTTCGTCTTATATTACTCTTTAGATTCTTTTTACTAAATTTCAGGTTATTTTATATTTAATTAATTTATAAATAAAGATTAGCGTCGTATTGACAAACATGTCAGAGACTCTAACAAGTCTATCACTGGAGAATCGTTTTCAATTTAATTATTACCCTCTTTGTTGTATTTTATAGTACCTGTATGTTCTTAATTACGAATATTGTGACTTGAATTAATATTCTTACAATCAAAATGAGCTGCAATTGTGGATTTATGTATTAACAATCTTATATACCTACTTATTTTGTATAACCTAATTCTGTTTATAATATTAATACTTTCCCACTTTTCTTAACTATGTGCTCCATGTAACCTTAAAATCCAATTCACTTATTAGATAGTTCAACAATTTTCTATTGAAGCACTGAAAACGTTTCAATTGTAATTTGTGTGTGCTGTGGATGATACGAAGTAGATAGAAATTGTTTGTTCTATCTCACGCTTTTCTGACCAGAACACACGTTGCTGATCATGAAATCTACTGTTCAATTTAATTGTCTTATGGCAGTTTTGTTGTGTTGAATACCGTGTTATTGTAATGAATAGTACTTGTTTAAAGAGCACACATGTTAAGTCATCTGCCTCAATGGTCTTTACGACGTCCGAGTCTCTGCTATTGAATGCGACCTAGTGACGTGCTTCAAATCCTCAACGAAAGCAACTATTGCTTCTTAGCGTGCAAATGTGTATGTTTGAAGCTCATTCCACCAATTAGGCCAATAATTAATTCCCTTCACCCACGTCGATTTTAATAGTTAAGTGCATAGTAAAATGGTTCCCGAGAACCCTTAATTTTCTATACGAATAATAAATGAATACGAATAATAATTCCATATGAATAGGAAATTCCATGAAGGTATCAGTTGCTTAATTAATGAAATTGTGATTTAGTTTTTAAGTATTCTGTAAACAAAATCCTCCGTCTGGTGTTAAAAGAAAACTCCGGATTCAATAAATCGATATTTTTATAAAAGCTTGCAGGTTTCGCTGACCCGGATGGCCAGGATTCGGGTCCCGCTTTGGGCATGATTGTTTGTCTCTTATCTCTCACGTATGTGTTATCGCAGAGGGCATTGTGTTCTGCTGATCCCACATCAAAGGAGCCCGCAAGTGTGTTGGTGTCACGTGTTTGGTGGAATGTGTGTCCCATTGGGAAGAAAAGGGTAACCCGCTGTCGGCTGGATAAAAGCCCTAGGAAAAAAATACCTTGGTTTAAAAACCTCGACATTGATGTCGCATCTCTATACTTCGATTTAAACGCAGAGTCCTTTGACGTAATCATTTGTTACGATGCCATCCAATCACGAGCTTCACCAGCAACGTGACGTCACTATGGTGACGATGACATCCCGATTGGCAATGATACGCGTAAAGCTGAGTGATCTGTCAAAGAACACTAGGAATAAATGGAAGTTTATAATCTATAACCGTGACGTTTTAAGCCTCCCGATTGGATGACAATAGCGACAGCTGATTTACTCAAAGGACTCTAGGATAAGTTTCGAAGTAAATAACCTGAGCGACTCGCGTGACCCTTGGCCCGTGACGTGCGCTCAGCGATAGCGACACGCGTGCGCGCGAACGCCGCCGCGCCTCCCGTCACAGCGCGGCGCAATGCGTGCCAATTATTGCGTATGTCGCGCGGTTCTATTCTGTTGAAAATCTTAATCTTGTAACGCTATTTCTTTCTTTTTAAGTTTATTATTTTTTAGTATTTTCTATACAATAAAAATCATTTTAAAACTAATTTCATTTTTTAAACTTCATTTTATTTAGAAACATTTTATTTTTAATTTTCAAACATTTATTTACTTCATTTTCAACAGAAAATGTGTTTTATTAGGTTCAGAACTTTATAAAGATGCAATTACTTACAATCGGCGTACAAACTTTTCCCACTATGAAAATAAAAAATTGCGAATACTACCAAAGATGTGTTATGCATATCTGCCTACTACTGCAAACTTTATTTTATTTAACACCGTTCCAAACTACAAGTAATAAATTATCTCTTTTTTGTTGCGTTGACCTAGAATAGAAATACGACTGCCGTACGTTGATTCATATGACCTTTACTAATAATACAATGGATGCACATAAACTTAAGCATCTGTAACTATCAGTTCCTGACGTTGCATAAACTGTCATAAAAATAATCAAACAGTATCACTCAATGAATTGAAAGCAAAGCATGTAAATAAAGTATTAAATTAGTAGTAAACAAATTAATATATCTCTGTAGCAGTAAGAAGGGAATTGCCAGTTATATATAAATACATCCGCATGCTTTAAGAGGTATTGAAATATATAAGGAGAAATAGTAAGGAGATCAGGAATTAAAATGACACATTGTTATTTCTGAAACTACTCATATCTATAATTCTATGCTCTGATGAAAAAGAAGACTTATTATCTATTAGTTTTACTTATTACTGTAATTTGCTTTTTCTTCTTCCTATACTTCTTCTTCTATTTTGTATTACTATTATTATTATCATTATTATTTATTATTAGTAGTAGTAGTATTATCACCTAAATTCACGATTAAAGATGCAAACAGCTTCCTAAGGGGTAGATTTAGTGACTGTTGGTACCCCTACCACACTTTGCGTAAAATAATAATATCCCGCTGATAAGAAGAGAACAGAGGCAACGCGCTGCTTTTATAGTGGCTATTAAAGGCGCGCCGAGGGCGCAGTGGGTGACTCACCGCTGTCGCAGGCACGAGAGCGACGCCAGCAGCCACAGGGGGCTGACGACGGTGGCCGTGCAGGAGGCGCGCGAGCGCGCGTGCACCAGCTGCGCCACGCTGGGCCACTGGCCGCTGGTGGCGCCGTCGCCGCCCACCAGCCGCGCCGAGTACGCCACGCCGTGGCTGCCGCACGCTGCAAACGAAACGAAAGAAATGAAGGAAAGGAAGAAAGAATGGGAGAAAGGAAGAAACAAAGAAAGGAAGAGAGAAAGAAAGAATTAAAGGAAAAGAAACGAAAAAAAAGAAACAAAAGAAATGACAAAAAGGAAGAAAGAAAAGATAGGAAGAAACAATTTATAAAAAGGGAAAGAAAGAGTGAAAGAAAGAAACAGAAAAGTGCTTCAAGGAATTATTGAATAGATGAAAAGGTTCAATATCACACGCTACAGTCATGCCTCGCGCACTTCATGAATTTGTTTATTATCCACCATCCTTCCTCTACCTTTACTCCCTCTGCTCGCACACATTCACGTCTATATTGTCTGATCATTCATACCAACATATAAGGTCGTAAAAAGCATTCAGCTAATCCCCATTTCTCGGAGGTAATACTTACGTGCTTGAATGTTTGTGTTTGCGTAATAAAAAGGTTCAACACCACTTCAGTCCTCTCTCCCTTCATGTGGGGTATAATTCATTCACCTACCTTTATGCCATTCTCAGACGAACACATTGCCCATACACTCATTCCATCATAACAGCATACTGCTAGAATACATTATGTTAACACTTGATTTCAAAGAAAGGAAACTACTTATGTGCTTAAACGTACGGTTGAGTAGATAAAAGGTTCAACACCACATGCCACCACTTGGCGTCAGGCTCCTTTCTCGCGGTGCAGAATTATTCATCCGACTGTTTTCGTATGCTCTCACTGTTGCCACTCTCACGTACACAATGGTTACTCATTCATTTTGTCATTTTGAGAGGACCATTCTGTTAACACGGTATTCCAAAGAAGAAAACATTTCTCGGTATAATGTTTCTGTGGTTGAACGAATTTCACGAAAAGGCTCACGGGAAGAATAAAACACATGTAGCAGAAATGTAAAGTTTAAAAAAACAAAATCATTTATAATAATATGATAATATCACGTAGAAGAAATGTATTTATGCTTCAACTCGAAAGCAAATATAAAAGAAAGCTATTACATTTTGATTTGCTCCGAAACCTCTATGTCTGACTCTCTGAAAAAGATAATTATTATGTGAAATACATACTATTGTAGAAAAATGAAGTGAAAAATTTCACACTGATCTATAGTAATTTGGCTCAAAGCTTTGTATTTCCTTCTTCACTTTCCTTATTGAAATGATAAATCTACTGAAAGCTCCTTTGACTTTTCCAAAAGAACTTACATTGCCTGATAGAAGGGAGATACGTGCGAGAGTATCCTCAGCGTCTCAAATTAATTACATTAATTACCATTGAATGTTCATGCTCAAATTATTACTGTATTGTTCTCTTGGTTTGATGCTTGATGTTGCACGTTTCGGAAGAACGCATTGCATTACATGCGGGTATTGTTGATTCCCCTTTTCACTGAACAAGATACTTCAAACGTTGAAGAAAGGAATTGTTATTTGACCTTCTGCAATAGTTACATAAGAATTGTATGTTAGTTAAAATAATTCCAAAACACAATTGGGACATGGATGTCTTATCTAAAAAAAGGATTTTCATGATTGTAATGGCAGATAATGCGAGTTCAGTGTTCCTTAAACCCTTTTTAAAAACGTAGACGGAAGGGGGGCAGCAATAGCTTTAGTTTAGTTTTCCAACTTAGCACGCACTCTTAAATTTTGATTTTTTGAAAATTTATTGAAATTCAAAACTATTTCAGAAACCGTATTACTAGGGACCCGATGTTCACGACATGCCATATTTTTTCTTTGCGTTATTTCCATGAAAAACGTAAGATAAGCACGATTTTATCTACTATTACTAAAATGATGCACCTATATATGATAATTGTCGTATTGTTTATTCATATTTTAATCGTTTTAATTCCATTTTCGCATACTTGCATGCAGTCGTCTAAAAGGTCGACTTTATGGTCATATTTTCATGTTTTGGCCATGAATTATTGCATATTTCTAATACTTTTAGGTCAGAAACATCTGGGCCATACTTTTTACCATCATTTCTAAACAACCACTTATTCTATACTCATCGCAACGGCTGCACAGTTTCTGAAACCTTTCACATCAAACTTATTCATCTGAAATAGTGAATTTCAATTTCAGCAATATTCCGGAGGTTATCTGACGGACTTATTTCCCCTATCAAGCTGGTTACCAGGCTGAAATTTGCAATTCCAATAGTCCTTGCCATTTTTGAGTTCAAAATCAAAATCAATATAAAAGTACTCATTTGTAAGAACGTACAGCGAAAAAACAACACTAAATTCTCATGAATAATTTAATGCAGACTTCCATCTGGGTTAAATGTGAGACTTTTTCAAAGAGATAATATTCAATTTCATGGCTTAGCTTTATCAATAAATATGATTTATAAACAATATGGTAAAGCTTAGGATAAAGACAATGAACAGAGTAGCATTGAGTGACAAGGCCGCGGTGTGAAAAAAGTCATCGACGCAAGAGGAAAATTAATTTTCAACAAAGGAAGAACAAATAATGATACACTGTTGGAGGAGGAGACAATTCACAAAGTATAGAACATACCTGAAAAAGCCGTATAGACTTGTTTCCTCGTGAATTACACGCCTAATGTAGCCACGTAATAATCATTCGCCATACTCGCAGAACCGAGGAGTAGGGGCACACAATGAATTGCAGGCGTATTGACGTAGCGGAAAAAGACGACAGGTAATAACCTTCATTGCTAGCGCAGCTTCTGGGAACCTTTGGGCTGGCTCACTCGCTGTCTTCACAGCTCCTGATGATTAGGTGGCAGTGGACAACAGGAAATCGCGTTGTTTCAAGAATGGTAGCGCATCACGGAGACGAGAAAGAGACAGTGGGGATAGGAGGGGAAGTAGAGGAAGCCATCCAAAATATTGTAAGCATGCGTGATGTGTACCTAGCAATGAAAACTCCATAAATGAAGAACCCAAACGTCGAGAGAAAATGAAAAAGAGAAGACTTGATAAAAAAAGTGAGAAAAGCAAGATGGGTTGATTGGAATGGGGAACAAATTGAAACTCTATTTAAATAAATACCTGAATAGACGTAGTAAAGGGAACGTGAAGATTTGAGTTCAGGAAACTAATCAAACACTAATTTTATAAAGAAACACTAGTAGAAAAGCAACCTGCATGGTGATTCAAAAGTACTCAGCATATCAAAAGACGGAAAGAAAATATTCGTAGAGACTGTGGTTATCAAGCACTAGACACGTAATATATTGCGGGAAATCCGACGAAACCCTTCGCAATTGTCATTTTAAGAGTAATTTTAAGTCGCCGGGAGGGTGCGTGGAGATGTCGTGACAGCAAAGGAGGTGCTTAAACCACAAAGATGAGAACCCAGACAACGCGGCAGACGAAATAACTGCGGGTCCTTAGACCTTAGCGAGGACGACAGTCGCGCCGGTGGCGGCGGCGGCGACCGGAACTAATTGCTCGGCGCTTTTTTGTGCCAAAAGAAGCAGTCGTGTGGTTTCGCGACGTCCGCCTCCAAATACGTGTGAGTGCACACTGGTCCCAAATAGACAGAACGTGCGGAAATACATGTTAAATTAAAAGTAATATAAAACAACTTCAAAATACGTATATATTTTGAGTTAGAAATAGAAGATAATTAAAGTACAAAAAAAGTGACTAAATGAATAAAATATGAAATGTAGAAATCATTTCCAAACAGTTTTATGTTTCACAGTCATCAAGTTCATATTTATCTCTTACTAACTGCGCCATTACTTGCATCTTGTCTATTTTTCTTTTCCTGTTGCCTCAATTAAGTCATTAACAAACCGCAGCACACTTCACTTGGAGACACATCAGCCCTATTACTGATATTCAGACAACAATAAATATCTAAATTAACATTGCATTTCTTCAGCTTCAAGGTAGAAGAAAAAGGGTTATGGAAAGGGAAGAAACAACAAATTAATTTTCGAAGTTAACTCTGGGCTTCAATAAGAAATATCATTACAAGGCATAGATTATTATCAGGCATATATTATTTGCTATTTCGAAGACGCGTCGCACAAGGCACTGTTGCCAACGTTTCGGTCGTCATAATGCGACCTCCTTCAGGGCAAACATTCCTGAGAAAGGTTGCAGTGTAACGTCCGAAACCTTGGTAATACCTTGGCACGAGGGGGCTCCACAACAGATAAGTATTTATTGTCTTTGGGCGCGGAAGTCTACATTCTCACGCCCACATCTCTTACCCTAAACATAAATGTTGCTTGCCAATGTTTTGAAATAATTTGTGAAAAACGAAATATATTAATACTTTTGTTGTTTTATTTTGTATTAATATTATACATTAACAAAAAATGTTGATCTAGTAACTAAACAACGATTCCAAAACAATTAAAATTTTTCATGAATAAATGTTTTGATTTCCCAGTGTGAGATCATCTTCCTTCACATCTGTAGTAGCTATTTAAGGATATGTAACACTACACGTACAACATTGGCCAGAAGAGAAAATTTAAAAAAATGCAATGTTACACGATACTATGGAATTTTTGGATTCTCATTTGAGCATTGTTGTACGTGAGGTGCTGCAGCTAAAGATATGTTATAAATGAAGACGATCTCGCATTTAGAGATCAAAAGGTCGATTAAAAAAAATAAAATTTAGACTGTAATCTTCATGTAGTTAATTGATTGATATTTAACCGAGTTATCATTATGAACTTTTAAAAAAAGTCGTGGTAAGATGCACGAGGTGTTTGGCCCATTGTACGGCGCGCGAAGCATGCTAATTGCTCACATTCCACTAAGAGGGAAGGGACGGCGTCCTCCCTCCCTCCTTCCCATCCCTTCTTCCCTCCTGAGGGCTTACGGCAGCAGCCTGCCCTCCGCGCGGCGCCCCTGGCCAAGGACGGAATTCGGACGAACACTCAAAAGGCCCGACATGCATTTGGTCAAGTCGCCTCTCCTTAATTCGTGTTTGTTAAATTGCTGTTGAGTCATTGCATTTTGAAGAGTATGG